ACGAGCCGATCAGTCGCGTGATCCCGCTATCGTGCTCGTTGGCGATTAAATTTTTATCGCGACGGACGCCGCCGCACGACGAACGTTTGTCTGAGTTCAACGTAGACTTTTTCGAAGCATAGATTATTCAGAAGGGTAGCGAACGTGCAATAAAATTGCTCGCCTCGATTCCTTGGTACCTTCGAACGAAGGATTTCAGCATCCGTCACGGTAGAAACATTCCTTGAAATATTGGATGGAATTCCTTAACAAAATCACCGACAGAATAAACTCGCAATGTACATGCATAGTACATCATTTGATCCATTCATTCGATTGTGTTATCCTCTTCGAACTTTTAATAAGTAAATCAATTATTTCAGTATTGATTGTAAGATTATTTGCACGACACTTTAATATAGATTAAATGTTCAAAGAGTTAAATGTCTTTTTTTTCATAAATTACTATAGCACTATAATAATATTGATTTTACGTTACAATTATTAGGTATTTTTGTTACTATTGTTTTATTACTACTGTAGTAATAATAATAACACGCTGATCAAATTGCTACTGTATTTGCTTCATAAAATTTTATTTATTTTATTTATTTTATCGCAAGATTTACTATTTGCCCATAAATTTCATGAAAAATATAAAAGCTGCTTTACTTCTGTTCTTATCTATATCTTGAAGTTTTATGAAATTTTACAGTAGATGTGCGAAGTGATAAATTTTGATAATATCGGAATATCACCATAAACGTGAATTTATAAAAACTTGGAAAATTTGAAATATGAAGCTACTCTGAAAGAACTCTGAAAGGAAAATGGACTTTCGCATTCTTCTAAATCTAAATGATTAATTTCTAATTCTCTACAAATCACGTAATAACGTGATATAAATCTATTTGGTGAAAGAACAGGGCTTCGAGGGAAAACGGATACAGAATAAGAGAACTAAATCGTAAAGTGCACACGACATCACGTGTCCATTTTCAAGTTCAATGACTAACTGAGCGTCGAGACTAAGCGTCGTCATGCAAGGACAACGATGAATATTCCAAGTTACATTTGTTTTCTGTCACCAGGTGAGAATCCACTGCTTGTCACACCGTTCCCAGCCGGTACCTGTTCTTATTGCTGTCCGATCGACGTGGATCGAGATATAGAGTACCTGCTTTTCACCAGGTTGGCGACGGACACCTCTTTTATTAAAGAGTACCTGTTATTAAATTTATGATAAATTTCTAACAATTTTGCAAATTTTAATAGCGACAGAGTCACCAGATTTTACAAATTCACAAATTCTTTATTTTAAAATGTTACTAGTGGCAGCGTAGGAAATTAAATTATTTATTACCAGATTTCGTAAATTCACACAAATTCTAATTTAGCAATTCAACTAAATAGGATGAAAGTAGAAAATTATTCGATTAAATTATTAGACACGGAATTACGTATTACTCAGTGGCTAGATCATGTCATGAAGGTCTATTATCTAAATTCTAAAATTATCGTTCTCACTTGTATTAGGAGGAATCCAACTTGCGGGACAACGTTGAATATTTCAGACCCGTATTCCTTGCGGAAGAGTTATTTCAACGACAGATACCCAACAGTAATTTTCATTCACGGATACAGCGAGAGTGCGACGTCAGGAAGTGCCACGGCAATAAAAGACGGTACTGTTCAAGTTTACTAGCTTCACGTGTTACAACCACGAATCATTTTTAATTAAATCATTCATCTCACGGAGTTTCTCGTTTGATTAACCTGTTCCATGCTGAGATGTTCAATGACGCATGCTTACTTATTAAGGTGAAATTAAATTAACCTACGACGATTAAATTATATTTCAAAATTCAAAGATTCACGAAATTGTAGTTGAAAGTTCAGAAAAAATCACAAATGTTATTCTTATTGCGATAAAGTATACCAGTGGATCGAATAATTTTTCATTTTTTGATTAAATTCAGAAAAATAATAATAAAATAATAAAATCTTCACAAAACTCGTCGTTTTTAAAGCTCTGCATGAGTGGAAAAATAAAAATAATATTATTATATTATATAATATTTTAGCTAATTTGCATAACTTTAATATAGAATTAATACTTAATTTTTAATATTTATTCTTCTAGCACCTAAAATGTATAGTAGTAATTCTTGTAATTATTAAATTAAACATTGACACAGCGTCACTTATGTGATTGAAGAAATGGAATCTTGGTAGAAAATTGTTTTTTACTAATTACGAAATTATATTATTTCAAAACTTCTCATAAATACAAAAGTTGACAGTCCACTCGTGACATACGAACAAGCTTTAATTATTCTAACCAGAATTCGAAATTGAACTCCAACAGATCCCAACTCAGACAATCGTACACCATCTTGATCCCATTTAACAATCACTTTGTTACAACTAAATTCGAGCCATTTAGCACTGTCGATCACGGAAATGTTCCTCTGGCAGACGTAGAATTTCTGAAACGAATCTACGCCGGGCAACACCGACATCTATATGTTATCAGATTTGCCAAGACACAGCCAGTAGACGGAAACTGATAGAACTAGGCTGGCGACATTAGTAGTTACAAGAATCAAGCGGAGAAGCCATCGCAAGACATTTTGACAGGATGATGAATCGCGCGGATCTCTCGAAAGTTCAGCCTTTCACTATGGAAACTTTGCCGTGCACGCGGGATCCATATTTCCGCCCCTCCCTCCCCCGACTGTGACATTCGCTTTCCTCCCTTTCAACGAGGACCAACTTCACCGTACTGGCCACAGACAAGTTTCCAAATCGTTGAGAAACTTTCTGGCGTTTGCCTACTCGTTTTCATGCCGAAAATGGCGACTGAAAGGGGCATACTTGAACTTGAACT